TTTGATTGACGTGTCTACTTCCGTCATGTGTTCAAATGGTTACGTTTTTTAAATAACCCATGAAATTAAGTATTCTGTCATGTTTTTAATTTAGTATTTACAGGGTTTCTCTTCAGCACATAACATACCCGCAATAAACTATAATAACTGATCAAAACAAGAATATACTTCTGTAACACAAAAATAACCCATGAAATTAAGTATTCTGTCATGTTTTTAATTTAGTATTTACAGGGTTTCTCTTCAGCACATAACATACCCGCAATAAACTATAATAACTGATCAAAACAAGAATATACTTCTATGACACAAAAATAACCCATGAAATTAAGAATTTTGTCATGTTTTTAATTTAGTATTTACAGGGTTATTTTGATTATTAATTGATTATTGATCGATAGTCTGCCAATGTCCATCTCAATTTGAGTTCTAACGATCCAAACCACAAAACGAAATCCAAAATCCAAACAACATATTGGCAACACATTAGTTCGAGCTGATTTCATGAAAGTGGAAAATTGCTCAATGCTACCAAATTTTGCTCAAATGAGGAAGATGACTTTCACACACTGACGGAGATAAGAACCCACAACCACCATTTATTGGACATCGAATCCCAACACTCTAACTGGCAGTGTTACTGTCTGTCCTGCTAAATTTCCACTGTTCCATTGTGCCAAGTTTAAGTTTTTTTCAACCTTTGGTGCTTAGATTGGTAGTAGAAAATGGCGCGCGTTATATTCAGAATTATACAGTATATAAACTTTGTAATTTCAGGTTTGCTATGGTTATTTTGTGCCTTGTTCTAAGTGTATTAGCTTCCATTCAAGAATTCCAAAAAATGTTGAGTTGTTATGTTATGTATACAGTAAGTATTTTCTTTTTTGATCCACGAAGTTGTTGGTCCTGGATTTAATCCCATACCTGCAGATTTTTCAACCCGGTTTCCCCCTGTCAATGATACAGGCAAGAGGAACTGACATGGAAAAAGCGTCTAGTCGTTCAGATGGGACAACAAACCGAGGCCCCGTGTGCTACAGACTGTGTACGTAAAAGATCCCTCGACAGTTGGAAAATCGAAAAAAAAGTTTTCTCCATTTTTTATGTGTATCAGGGACATTGATAGCATGAATTATGATTAAGAATACATGATAATTCATTAGAAACACCAATTACACAAACACCAATAGTTTGCTTAATTTGACACTAAAAAATAAGGAAACCCATCTTCAAACTTGCTAAAATAGCAGTGGCCCATTTTGTCTATGTTCTCAATGGTTCCTGGATGTTCAAATATATGTACTGGACCACAATGCACTCTGTTTTGTATTTACAGGAAATTGTAATGTTATTATGGATTGCTTCGGAGTTTATGTTGAGATTATGGGCTTCTGGTTGCCGTTCACGATATCAGGGATTACGAGGTAGAATGAGGTTTTTTAAACGACCTCTTTGTATCATAGGTAAGTCAGTATCTCGAATCATTAAAGTACATTAAGTACGTGGAATCATTAAAGTACATTAAGTACCTCGAATCATTAAAGCACATTAAGTATGTGGAATCATTAAAGTACATTAAGTACCTCGAATCATTTAAGTACAGTAAGTACCTCGAATCATTAAAGTACATTAAGTACCTCGAATCATTAAAGCACATTAAGTACGTGAAATCATTAAAGTACATTAAGTATGTGTAATCATTTAAGTACATTGAATCATTGAAGTAGGCTACATTGGATGTTGGGTCATTAAAGTACCTTGAATCATTTAAGTACATGGAATCATTAATTACTTGGAATCATTAAGTACATTGAAACCATTAAAGTACATGGAATTATTAAACTATGTTGGGTCATTAAAGTACCTGGAATCATCTAAGTACATTGAATTTTTAGGATCATTTACGTACATTGAATCATTAAAGTTCATTGAATTATTAATGTACTTGAAATCATTAAAGTACATGAAATCATTAAGCACCTGAAATCATTAAAGTACATTAAGTAGGTGGAATCATGAAGTACTTGAAATCATTAAAGTACATTGAAAATAAATGAAACAAAATATCTAGAATGAGTGACTTAGCTCATTGAAAATAAATGAAACATAATATCTATTTCTCTCAAGCAGTTGGTATGTAGTAAATTAAGAGCTGTCACGAGGTATTTTAATGGACAGTTTGAACTTCTACTGGAGGTTGACGAAGGCCGCAAGCCAAACACAAATAGAGAGCTAATGGCTTTAAGATACAAACGGCTTAAAACTAGGAAGCCTTATTAAGACCATTATAAACTTCTTGTCACACCAGATAGTATGACTCCTGTTATTGGAGAAAAGTGCTTATTAAAGGGACAGATGCACCATCCGTTTGACCAATGGTACCTTAGTCTTAGAAACAGGAATTTTTTAGCTAAGCTAATCAGTAATAGTGTTTACAGCTCACTGTCGAAATTTGAGCCTTCAAATCCATGTGTGTCTAGAATTATCCACGTTTGAAAGTTAAAATGACGACTCGTCTTTTCTTGAGACACTGTCATATATAGAAAAGACATCTATAGAAATAGTGAGTAAAATTCCTAGTTTGAGATATTTTTAAAGGAATTATAAGATTTTTGTAAATTGTGGGAAGGTTCCCTTTAAGTGATAAAATTCTATTTTGAATGGAAATGAGTAATTAGTATACAAGTTTCATTCATTTGGTAGAAATTAGTTTGTATCTTTCCAAGATGACAGGGGAAAAATGGCTATGGAATTATCAGACACCTTTATGAATAAATTCCATTCGCTTGTCAAAGAATGTCTTTATGATTCCAATTTGCGTTGTCAAAGACTATCCTGATATTCCAACTTGGAATTTTAGACCAATTTTTCACTATTCTGCCAAGCCTAAAATGGTAATTTTCAAACCAATATTTCGCCATTCTGCCAAGCCTAAAATGGTCATTTTCAGACCGATTTTTCACTATTCTGACAAGCCTAATATGGTAATTTTCAGTCTGATTTTTCGCTATTCTGCCAAGCCTAAAATGGTCATTTTCAAACCAATTTTTCACTATTCTGCCAAGTCTAAAATGGTAATTTTCAGTCTGATTTTTCGCTATTCTGCCAAGCCTAAAATTTTCATTTTCAGACCGATTTTTCACTATTCTGACAAGCCTAAAATGGTCATTTTCAGACCGATTTTTCACTATTCTGACAAGCCTAAAATAGTAATTTTCAAACCAATATTTCGCTATTCTGCCAAGCCTAAAATGGTAATTTTCAAACCAATATTTCGCTATTCTGCCAAGCCTAAAATGGTAATTTTCAGACCAATTTTTCACTATTCTGCCAAACCTAAAATGGTAATTTTCAAACAAATTTTTTGCTATTCTTCCAAGCCTAAAATGGTAATTTTCAGACCAATTTTTCACTATTCTGCCAAACCTAAAATGGTAATTTTCAAACCAATATTTCGCTATTCTCCCAAGCCTAAGATGGTAATTTTCAGACCGATTTTTCACTATTCTGACAAACCTAAAATGGTAATTTTCAGACCGATTTTTCACTATTCTGACAAACCTAAAATGGTAATTTTCAGACCAATTTTTCACTATTCTGACAAACCTAAAATGGTAATTTTCAGACCAATTTTTCACTATTCTGACAAACCTAAAATGGTAATTTTCAGACCGATTTTTCACTATTCTGCCAAGCCTAAAATGGACATTAACAATTCTTCTGGTTGTTCCTACTTTTCATCCTGGAAGCAGTATCAGGAAATATCAAAGACTATTCTGACATTCTTGCATGGAATTTCAGACCGATTTTTTTGCCATTATGCCAAGCTTTATATGGTAATTTCAATGCCTCTGGAATCAATTTCAGGAAGTTTTAACAACTTGCTTCCTGTTCGATAGTTTATATCTGTAAGAATTTAATTGGATTCTTTGCGTTTATTTTTTTTTGGTTTCTGAGTACTTACCTTCAGGCTGTTTTTTTTTAATGAATAGAGTTGTCTGAATTATTGCCATCTTATTTATAATTTTGCCATCCGTATCACTTGTTAAAATGATTTTATTGCATCAGTAATATCTGTGAAAGAGATAGTTAAAGGCATTGTAAAGAGATTTTCTAATTTTTTTATGTGTATCAGGGACACTGATAGCATCAATTTGTACCATTCCAATTTTCAATCAGACGTCTGTGGTTCCTGCAATTCCAGTAAGACTAGGCTAGGCTTTTTATGTGTATCAAAGACACTGATTGCATCAATTTGTACCATTCCAATTTTCAATCAGACTTCTGTGATTCCTGCAATTCCACTAAGACTAGACTAGGGTTTTTATGTGTATCAGGGACACTGATAGCATCAATTTGTACCATTCCAATTTTCAATCAGACGTCTGTGGTTCCTGCAATTCTACTAAAACTAAGCGTTGTATGTCATATACAGTTTAGCATTATCGTTTCAATGCTCTGTAAGATAGTCTACTTCTGTACTTTCATTGTATACAAACCATGTGTCAGAGTCTCAAATTGAAAAATGAATTTCTCTTTCAGATTTTATATTAGTAGCTGCAAGCATCACAACTTTAGCCATTGGTGGAACACAAGATATGTTCGCAACTTCCTCTCTTCGGGGTCTTCGCTTCTTCCAAATTCTACGTATGGTTCGAATGGATAGAAGAGGAGGAACCTGGAAACTCCTGGGCTCTGTTGTGTGGGCCCATAGGCAGGTATGTGCTTTATTGCCCTTTTTTGGCGAAGGGGAGGGGCTGGGATGTTGATTTGAGTTTTGAATATGTTTAAATAGTCTTCAGAAATACTAGAAATGTACGATAATCAGATAATTCTTGACACACATGGATTTAAAGGCTCAAATTTCGACAGTGAGCTGTGAACATTATTACTGATTAGCTTAGCTAAAAAAAAATTCCCGTTTCTGAAACTAAGGTACGATTGGTCAAAAAAATGGCGCACCTTTCCCTTTCCATTAAACCCAGCTGTAAATGGGTACAGAATAAGTCATCTTTCCTCATTATTCCAGTCAACCCAGCTGTATATGGGTACAGGTAATCCAGGAAAGATCAATGCCAAAAGGTTTGGTCAAGGACCAGCTGGTAGAAAGGATCCTCATTATTCCAGTCAACCCAGCTGTAAATGGGTACAGGTAATCCAGGAAAGATCAATGCCAAAAGGTTTGGTC